AGCTGGGTCTATTTTCAACCTCTCTCCTTATTTCCCTCATTTGGATTTCATAAATAAGTTAGATTTAAAGTGCCGGAAAACAAATTGTTCTGCGGGGGAAACTTCTTTTTGTTCCGTGTTTTGGCATGAAAGGTGTCCCACTTGTCGGCCGTGTCACGGCCTTTGAAAAATTCTATTTTTTTCTGTAAAAAGGAAGGGGTTTTTTTCCCCCTCCCTCTCCTTCTTTCTTACAAAGGTTTCCAACTCAGTGGAAAGTTGGGTTAGCTGCCCCCTTCTCCAACAAGGACACTGGGAAGGGTGTGTGCTTGTGTCAAAATCAGCAAGATGAGGGGGGGCAAGTTTGAAGACCCCTGCTTGTGAACTTCAACTCCCAGAATTCCTCAGCCAGACATGCAACTTCTGGGAGTTGAAGTTCACAAGTCATAAAAGGGCCCAGTTTGAAGACCCCCGTCTTAAATCTAACAAACAAAATGGAGGCTGGCTGAGGAATTCTGAGAGTTGAATTCCACAAGTCATAAAAGGGCCCAGTTTGAAGACCCCTGGCTTAAATCTAACAAACAAAATGGAGGCTGGCTGAGGAATTCTGGGAGTTGAAGTCCACAAGTCATAAAAGGGCCAAGTTTGAAGACCCCTGTCTTAAATCTAACAAACAAAATGGAGGCTGGCTGAGGAATTCTGGGAGTTGAAGTCCACAAGTCATAAAAGGGCCATGTTTGAAGGCCCCTGACTTCTCAAAAATCCCCCAAAGATAGCCTCGACCTAGTTTAACAATTTCCCAACCTTGGCAACTTTAAGATGGCGTGGGCTTCAACTCCCAGAATTCCCCAGCCATGTATGCTTTTGGGGGAATTCTGGGAGTTGAAGTCCACGTGTCCATGCTGTGAAGCCCACACATGTGAGGAGAAAAGCTGGATCATCCTTTGTGTGTGTGTGTGTGTGTGTGTGTGAAAAAGCAATAGGAGCTGCAACCATGATGGAAATCCTGCTCTTGTTTTAATTTGTATCACACACACATATGCGGCGGCCATCTTGACTTTTTTGACTCTTCGGTGGGAAGGCAGAATTTGAGTTGCCTTTTTGAAAGGACCGGGAAGCCTTGGATGGCATACAACTGTGGTTCTACATTATATAACCCTGGTTATCAGGATGTCTCCTATGGGCCCACTGTTCTTCTCCATTTGGAGAGATTCTGCTTTGCGGTTCCCCTGACTTTTCCTTCCTTCCTTCCTTCCGGGAAAATTAACTTTTTTTCCCCCAAGTTTCCTTGATTTTTTTTTCTTTCTTTCCAGGAAAATGAAGAATGGATCCTGGTGGGGAGAGTCATTGACCGGGTCTGTTTCCTCATCATGGCCTCCGTTTTTATCTTTGGCACCGTTGGGGTCTTCCTGATGGCTCAGTTCAACCAAGCTCCAGGAAAACCTTTTATGGGAGATCCAAAGCGATATCTGCCTTAGAAGTGAGCCAGGAACCGGATCCAGATTTCAAGTGGATCCTCTGCTTGGAGGAATATTGTACAGAGAACCAGGCTGCAGTGCAAGGCTTTGGGGGGTCTAACTTAGGAACTCTGGACTTGGGCCATCTTACAGAAATAAGTCTGTTTCTCAACCCTGGCAATTTGAAGAAGTGTGAACTTCAACTCCCAGAATCCCCCAACAGCCTTGATCAAGAGCCTTTGGCCCGCTCAAGAGCCAAACCTGCGTGATTTGTATGTCGTATACTACGTTGTATATAGTATGTTTAAATGCATGTTGGGTATGTGTACACCAGGGGTAGTCAACCTGGGCTCTTTTATGACTCGTGGACTTCAATTCCCAGAATTCCTGAGCCAGCTTAGCTGGCTCAGGAATTCTGGGAGTTGAAGTCCACGAGTCATAAAAGAGCCCAGGTTGACTACCCCTGGTGTACACTTTGAGAGCAAGCAACTGCATTTCATTTTTAATCTGTGCCATTGTGCCCACAGTTAAAAAAAAACAACGACAATAAAAGTTACCTATCTATTTGTGTTTGGGATTGGTGTTAAAGCTGTGTTTGTCAGTCTGGGTAACTCTAAATTCAAAACTTCCGACGGGAAGGTTCGGACTGCCTTTCTGAATATTTGGTCAAGCTCAATTTGATTGACTTGTTGTGGAGGGAATTGCCTCAAGGGGAAAGATACTACCCAGACGACAATCGGATAACAGAAAGCTGAGTCTAGAGCAGAACTGTAACCTGAGAAAGCATCTCAGACAAAATCCTGCCTGGTTCTCATGAAGATAAAGGCAGAGAGGGGGAAAGCCTAATTCAGACTAATTCTGTTACAATAACTTTACAATAACATTAGTATTGGCCTACATCAGAGGTCCCCATCCTTGGCAACGTTAAGACTTGTGGACTTCAACTCCCAGAATTCCTCAGCCACCCAAGAATAGAAGGAGAGGAGAGGAGAGGAGAGGAGAGGAGAGGAGAGAAGAGCTGGAAGGGGCCTTAGAGGTCTTCTCATCCAACCCCCCCCCCAGTCAGGCATGATTTATTTATTTATTTATTTTATTTCCATTAACTTATATGCCGCCCTTCTCCCCACGGGACTCAGGGCGGCTCACAGCATGTTAAAACAACACAAAACATTTCCCCTATAAAAGCCAATTAAAAACCAAATATTTATAGCTGTGTCTTATTAAAATCATTAAAATTGTCCCTATTTAAAATTCACCCTAGGTCAGTCCCNCCCAGCGAGGGAATAGCCAGGCAAACACACCTGATTCAGCAGCAGCCTGAGGCTAGGTGGCAACACACACTAAATGGAGAACTGGCTAGCAGCAATTAGGATTAACGAACACACAACAATAAAGCCATTAAACACCTTTCAGGCAGGATTAGGAAGGAAATTTGCCCAACAAAAGTCACTGACCAGCAAATCAGAAAAGACAGATTCAAACTCACCAATCAGAAATGACAAGTTTTGGAAACCATAAAAGGGTATAAAAACTCATGTTTGAAGACCATTCTGTCTAGCTAGCCGGGGATTCAAGCTGAATTGTCACTCGACTTTGATCCTCGAGATTAAACCTCTCTTCCCGGTAGCTGGCTTCATGATCTATTTCTTCCACGCTGCGCCGTCAAGGAGAATCCCGGCTGGAAGAACCGAAAGGGGAAATTCCTCCCAACAATTACCTGGCAACCACGAAGGGACTTCCAGCTCACCCAGCCACTGGACCGGGCCCGGAAGAGCCACCACCCAGCCGGCAGCAGTCACCTTGTTCCGCGGGGAAGCCTCCACGGACCCTGCCCGGTCAGCAATGGGTATTAAAGGGAGTTTTTGAGTCTTGCGCTCGGACAGCTACCTGGAAAGAGGGTAAGTGCCACCAAATTAAGCTTATTAAGCTAAAGGGTCTGGGGAACGAAAGAAAGAGTGCATGAGTGTGTGTATGGGGCACCCTCCTCTGAGAACCAGCTGGAGCTCACCCCCTCTGTATGCCCTCTAGCCGCACCCCGACCCGCTGCTAGTTCCACTGGAGCTGTGACCAGCGGGATTCGGGAAAGCAAGGGGGGGCATCAGAGCGTGAGACCTTCTGGTGAAAGAGGAGAGCCGAGTGGGCAGAGAAAGAGGGAAAGGATTTCATTTTGGGTAAACCAGGACCCCTTCCACCAGTAAACATTTAAGCAATAGCCCTAATTTAGAGCGGTCCACTTACCTCTGAGAGCTTCTTGTCCTGCCCTCAGGGGCTTTGGAGAATAGCTTGACTCCCTCTTCTTTGGGGCAGCCCCTGA